CTATCTATCGCTCTATCTATCTATCTATCCGTCAACATCTAGTAGCATCCGACAAACTGTATCTAGAGTAATTGACTCTTGTCTTGCCTCAGGAGTCCTTAAAGAAGAACTAGTCGAAGGGGAGCTTTAACTTCACCCCTGCTGACGGCTGATAACTAGAACCTTTGCTTCTATTGACGGCTGACAACTAGAACCCTTGCTTCTATTGACGGCTGACAACTAGAACCCTTGCTTCTATTGATGGCTGACAACTAGAACCCTTGCTTCTATTGACGGCTGATAACTAGAACCCTTGCTTCTATTGACGGCTGATAACTAGAACCTTTGCTTCTATTGACGGCTGATAACTAGAACCTTTGCTTCTATAGACGGCTGACAACTAGAACCTTTGCTTCTATTGACGGCTGACAACTAGAACCTTTGCCTCTATTGACGGCTGATAACTAGAACCCTTGCTTCTATTGACAGCTGACAACTAGAACCTTTGCTTCTATAGACGGCTGACAACTAGAACCTTTGCTTCTATTGACGGCTGACAACTAGAACCCTTGCTTCTATTGACGGCTAACTAGAACCCTTGCTTCTATTGACGGCTGATAACTAGAACCTTGCTTCTATTGACGGCTGATAACTAGAACCCTTGCTTCTATTGACAGCTGACAACTAGAACCTTTGCTTCTATAGACGGCTGACAACTAGAACCTTTGCTTCTATTGACGGCTGACAACTAGAACCCTTGCTTCTATTGACGGCTGATAACTAGAACCCTTGCTTCTATTGACGGCTGATAACTAGAACCCTTGCTTCTATTGACGGCTGACAACTAGAACCTTTACTTCAATAAGGTAGAATCTTACAGCTAACTTAATCCATGGCTTCACTCTCTAACAGAAGTGAGAAGTAATCGAGTGATCAGCAGAGATTCCTCCCTCCCTTCCCCTTCTCTCCACCACCCTCACCCCTCCCCCCTCTCTTTTTTTCCGCTTATCAGGGCTCACCGTCCACCTGGCCCCTACCTTAACAAGCTTCGCCACCTGTCCGATCTATTAGCGTCAATAGATCTACCAAATAGTATCATTTCTCGTTTCTCTTCCCTAGATTGATGTCAATTTTAAATGGAGGATGATTGTTTAGGTGTGATAGAAGAGAAAATTATAATGTGATTTCAGGATGATGGATGATGGTTGATGGATGGTTGATGATGGATGATGGTTGATGGATGGTTGATGATGGATGATGGTTGATGGATGGTTGATGATGGATGATGGATGAATGATAAAGTTTTAAAAGTAATGTATATTTTTGGCTTGAACTCCATACTTTTTTATTTCCTTTCTATAAGTAACAATAATAATTATAATATTGATCTACAACGATTATGATAATGACGTTAATAATAATAATAATAATAATAATAATAATAATAATAATAATAATAATAATAATAATAATAATAATAATAATAATAATAATAATAATAATAATGATAATAATAATAATAGTAATGGTAATGATAATAATAATAATAATAATAATAATAATAATAATAATAATAATAATAATAATACCCAAACAAGTCATCACTACACATATATGACAGCAATCCGTCTATATCTCTTTTTATTGGAAATTTTACGAACCAACACTATTGTACACCGCCTATAGCCACCTCCTCAATCTAATATGGCAGCCCAGGTTCATTCATTCATTCATTCATTTTCTCTTTTTTTTTTACCCAGTTACTGTTGAGTGAGTGATAGACTCCTGTTTCTTGATCCGCTGCTGTGGGTGATTTGAATTGTTACCTGGATAAGAGGGTGCGACAGGAGGGGGGGGGGGGGTGGGGAGAGTGTGTTGGGTGGGGAAGGGTGTTTGGTAGAGGGGATGTGGAGAATGCGGACATGAGAAAAACAGTTGGATGACGGTACAAGACATCTTTCTTATCACATGCTCTCCCCAGATTAGTTTGTGTAGAACAATGCTGAACCCAGGAGGAGGACGATGATTTATCAAGATCGTGCGTGTTTACCTATTGAGTACTGTGTATGTGTGTGTGTGTGTGTGTGTGTGTGTGTGTGTGTGTGTGTGTGTGTTCAGATATCAGTTAAGACAGTTCAGTCTAGAGGCAGCTGTTGTTATGGCCTCATAAATGAAAGTTAACTATACGTTTTATTTGTATAAGTCGTTTCCTTAAAGTTGTACTACACATGTGATTATCTTCTTGTAATGGCATTTATTATTATTATTGGAAGCTGTTCGTAAACTATGCTGATAGCTACTGCGTATGTCTGTCTATCAGCGTGTTTGTTTGTTTGTTTGTCTGTCTATTTTTTCTCGTTTGAATGTTTGTTTGAGTGCCAGTTTGCTTGTCCACTTCATGTTCTGTTTCAGTGTACCTCTAAACACTGCCACAAACACTGCTGCAAACATTGCAACAAACACTGCTACAAACATTGCAACAAACAATTCTGCAAACACTGTCACAAACACTATCAGAAACACTGTCACAAACACTGCTACAAACGCTGTCACAAACACTGTCACAAACACTGCTACAAACATTGCAACAAACAATGCTGCAAACACTCACAAATACTGCTACAAACACTGTCACAAACACTGTCACAAACACTGTCACAAACACTGCTACAAACTTTGCAACAAACAATGCTGCAAACACTGGCACAAACACTGTCACAAACACTGCTGCAAACACTGTCACAAATACTGTCACAAACACTGCTAGAAACACTACTACAAACACTGCTGCAAACACTGTCACAAACACTGTCACAAACACTGTCACAAACACTGCTGTAAACACTGTCACAAACACTGCTACAAACACTGCTACAAACACTGCCACAAAACTGTCACAAACACTGCCACAAACTGTCACAAACACTGTCTATTGCTACCAACAATGCTGCAAACACTGTCACAAACACTATCACAAACACTGCCACAAACACTGTCACACACTGTTAAGCACTCATAAATACTATCACAAACAGTCACAAACACTGTTAAGCACTCATAACATTACTGTCACAAACACTGTCACAAAATATTCATAATAATAATGATAAAGGCAGAAATATTAGTAATCGGGATGTGTATGTGTGTGTGTGTGTGTGCATGTGTGTATGTGTGTATATGTGTGTGTGTGTGTGTGTGTGTGTGTGTGTTGGTCATCTTGTAGGTCACAGAGCACACTAGGCTCCGGGTCCTGTGGTTACTTGACTAGGACCAGCTGTTCTCCTGATAGGAATCTTGTCCTAAGATAATGCTTTAAGTATTGATCCTGTCACGGAGAGAGAGAGAGAGAGAGAGAGAGAGAGAGAGAGAGAGAGAGAGAGAGAGAGAGAGAGAGAGAGAGAGACAGATTGAGAGAGACATAGTTATTGTGTATGTAGCTACACATGCAATAACAACAACGGCTTAATAATAATAATAATGTTAATAATAATAATAACCTCGAGTTGCATAATTATATTTGTGTGTGTTTTATGTAACTAGCTCATATCAACAACATTATGTAGTGCGTGTGACCGTAAACTGGGGACAGGGGACAATTTGGTGTTTTGACTCCTGTTACCTTATTGCGCACAATATCCTAACCCTCCCTCCTCTCTCCACCTCTCCTCCAACACCGTCGCAGTAACCAGGTACAGAGCAGTTAAATCTGGTTCACGAAGCATTAAAAAAAAACTCGCTGCTGAGAACATTCTAGTGCATTTGTGAGTCCAGTCACTCAATCTGTACCAGTATCCTCAAAAACACATGAACAGGAACACTGAATAAGCTGTCTTCTACAGCTTATGATAGTACGTGTGTAATATATTTATTAAGGGTGAATATTAATGATATTTACGCTGAAATCTCTTAATTTCAGGTGATTAAGCAGTGGTTATGATTAATACGAACGGGTTAAGTGAGTCGCCGTGCGAAGTGGCAGGGAAATACATCAGGTGCCAGGGTGTCGCGAGCCTCACCTGTTCAACTTACACCCTTGTATGCCACGTCTACGGCACACCACAAATACTTTATTGTTATGTAATCCTTTAGATGCAATATTGAGGATAATGATGAGAATATTTGGCTAGTTTTGTAGGTAAGAGTGGCGATGGTGTGTGTGTGTGTGACGTGAGGTGAAGATGTCGCCGTACGAAATGGCAGGGAAACCTGGGCCAAGGACCCGCTGACACATGCGATCTCAGGCTTAGGGGCAAATCTTAGTGTGATCTTGTACTTCAGACCCCAGACAATATTTGGGCGCTTATGACGACATTCTGAACTGGATAATTTGGTTCTATAGCCAATTACTTTTGAGTTATAACGTAGTATTAAAATAACTCACAGAGATAAGCAATAAAACTAACGCGTCCATGAAAGATAACACAGACCGATACATATTGAAATCGTTCAGTACATTATGACACGCTGAGAGCTTCTACCCTCACACAAAAGTCAAAGTCGCATAACATGTTTTTAATAATAAAATACTGTTCTGTCTTAGTTTTATTAATGTTAGACTAAACACATTATTAAATCGTAAAATGAGTGAGAAACTGTACACTATGTACATGTGTGTGGGAGGGAGGAGTCACTGCCCTCCACGCCAGGACGTCGCCTTTCTCCTGTCGTTGTAAGTGGAAGGGAAACCACTATCTAGAACCAAAGGGGCAGGCCTCTTCATGTGTAGCGTTGATTCATAAATCATCGTATCATTTCACACAAATGACAGCACAACCTTGTAGTGACGCTGAACATAAAATGACTTTTCTCTTCTTTATATTTACAACAGTTCTCTTTATCCACATAACGTTCATGCCTCAATAGTGATAGGCCTCTCTAAGAACCTCCCGAAAAGAGGTAGAAGTTAAAAGAAATAACAATAACGGGAGACGCAGCAGCACACCTCACGGAGACCTCAAACATGGCAACTCAGCCGCCATGTTTCTGTATAAAATGGGGTGATCCAGCGTGAACTATCATTCCTTCTGCTTGACTAATAAGAGAAGGTAAGACAAGGAGCTCTCCGGAGACCACCATCACTACCACAACAACAATCATGTCTTGCCAGCGTTATTCTCGTCTTGTGCTCTCTGGAGCAGCAGCTATGAGGACTGTCACCCATCAACAGGTATGAAGTAAATCTTTGTTATTATTTCCGGTATTAGAGCAGTAAATAGCACGTCTTGTTTCATCATCTTAGTGAACCAAATTACTTTGTTTTTTATCTCAATAATAAATTATTTGTTTTTATTCTTATTGTACCATTTCCATAACTTTCTTTTAATAAATTTCCATTTCCTACGTCTTCTATTCTTCGTAGATTAATATTCTAACTCCCAAACGTATTTACTCTTATGCAAACTTAAATTTAGAATTCTCTATTTAGAATCCCTTTAATCTTTAATTTATAAAGTATTTTATATACATAGTTTATGAAATTATATAAACATTTTCATGTCAAATTGTCTTTTATAGGATTAAAACTTTTATAAAGTGTTTAGTTTTATCAGTTAGTGGAGATGATGTTAGCACTTCATTAACTTCTTAGTTATTAACTTTTTAGTTAAATATAGTTAATGTTTTGTTATCTATTATTAGTTATTTAAAACTGTCAATAGGTGGTGCTGCTAGTAAAAAGTGTAGTTAATATTACTCATTAGTTTCTTAGTGTAGACGATTTTATTTAACCATAACTATGCTACAGTAGATGAGGCTAATAACCAGTCTTGGTATTTAGTGGAAAGATAATTAATAACTTTAATTCTACACAGGTGATAACTTTTATTCATTAACGGTGTTGATAGAAAGTTAATCTTCAACAGTGGCATTAGTGAAGCTGATGTTAGATTACCTTAACTGTACTAGTTAACACTGTTAACCTTTAATTACAACTATTAGGAGAGTTCAGTTAATGACAGTATTTCTAAGTTGCCACTGTTGCCAATATGGCAAAGAGGCACTGTGTGTCCACCTCATATGAACGACACTTTTGTTATGACAGATATGTTGGTCGACAAGAAGAGAGAAGACTTGAAGATGCAAGAGCCAAGAGACAACCTGTCGATCACAGGTTATAATATTTACTAACTGTCTGCATGATAACACTTGTTTATTACACTCTATGTTCTGCTACGCTTCTTGTTTACTTACTACATGCTTCTGTATCACTACAGATTTAAAATGTCATTGATAAAGTCATTTAGACTTAAGTACTCTAGTTGGTCATGCTATTTTTGCTCTGATTGATTAACATTTGTTCTGCTGACTGAAACACGACAACAAAGGTGCTCATTATGTATCTTGTTTGTGTTCACAGGTGAGGAGGAACTGTAATAACTGTAACAAGCGGGGTCTGAGCCTCGTGTCCTGCGCCAGACAGCAAGTGGCCATCAAGGAGAGTCCTGTTTCAGGTGCCGCTCGCTCTCCCGCCCTCAAGGGAATCACACCTTCAGGTAGGTCTTCTCTCGTCTCCCACACATACCCAAAATGATACATTTGTTCTTCTTCCCTGTTTATGATATCGTTTTAAAACGCCCTTATTGAGGCAGTACAGAGGTGGTGTACATAAATTTGTTGCCCCTACAGCCACCGACCTGGTGGCGTCTTTACCGGACCAGGAGGGCCTCAACGTCAAGTTCGGTGACGGGAGTGCCAGCCAGATGCCGTACGTGTGGCTCCGTGACAACTGTCAATGTTCCAAGTGTTACAATCCCGTGGCATTGGGGAGGAGCTTCCTCTTGGAGGACCTCGACGTCAACGTCCACGCCACCAAAGTTCAGGTAACACCACTGACAATGACACCTGATTCTACCTGTCTTCCTTCCAGTAATATAAGAATTTTGTGTACTAGCTTACGGTTGTATATATGGAGCTCTTCTATGTGCACATGTAATACTGATATTTACTTGATATTCCTCTACTTATACAGAGTAAAGATGAGAGATGCTGTCAGTGTTGTAGAGATAATTATTATTGTTTGCAGGAAAGTGAAGACGGGGTGGAGATAGAGTGGAGTGACGGTCACAGCAGCCAGTTCACAGCAGAGTGGCTGTATGACCGAGCCTTTACGACCTCCGCTCGAGCACAGCAGCGTAACAGATACGCTCTCAGCAGGGTGAGTGTTGGCACCCTCACCTGTACTGAGTCTCTGAAAAATTATATACCTAAAAATGTTACCTATACCGATAATCACATCACAATTATTTTCTACTAATTAGTTACCTTTTACCTGAACAGGCTTTACTATATCCCTCCGTTAAATACTTTATTTATTGATCTAAACAGTAATTTTAGCTGCTCACGTATTCAATAACTTATTTATCTGTCATTTTTATCGACATTCTTCATCATCCTGTTTTGACGTGATCCTTAACCCCTTCCCGCACCCTCAGGAGCCATGGGGTGTGGAGCACAAGCCAGCAGAGTTCGACTACCAGACTCTGATGGAGGACGAGAAGGTGCTGCTGGACTGGCTACTGACGATGGAGACGAAGGGATCCGCCTTAGTGAAGAACACACCAAACAGGGACGTGGCCGGACCTGACCTTATCAACAACATCGCCTTCGTCAAGCAGTCCCACTACGGGTCAGTGGCCAGTCACTGTTCTCATGTTGTACAAGATAAACCAAATTTCAAGTTAGATGATCAAAAGAACATTAAGTATTGTATTATTGTGTTCACGTATTGTTCCATTTATTCACAGTCTCAATACTTCTTTCTTGTTGGGAAAAATTACCCGTGATATAAAATTTAGTTTCCAGGTTCTGTAATGAAAACTACGTGAACATGTTTATGAGACTTTAAATAGCATGAATATTTTACGCTACACTTTACATCATTAACAGTTAACGATTAAGAGTAAAAATATTGTTTTTCGTCCCCTCAGACCTCACTCACCAGTCATCAACAGAGAAAACACCAACAACGTCGCCTTCACCAACGTTAAGCTGGGCATGCACAACGACCTAGCCCAGTATGAGCAAATGGCCGGGGTAAGTTGAGGCTCACCAGCTACAGTACTTGCTCCTCATCAGCTTTGAATATATCGAGACATTTCTTAGGCAACCCGAACTTTCATAACTGTCAGTAGTTTGGTCGAGTTCATAGTGTTTGGTGTTTACTGTTTGATAAGTCAGGAAACATTTTATAATTGATCATACGTGACACCAAACCTCAATATCTTTTAACAAGAGTTACTCTATAATGTTGACTCCTATTGCAAGTTATAAAGTTGTTGTGTTGCAGATCATCTTCATCCAGTGCGTGATGCAGCACCAGGGGAAGGGAGGTGAGAGCGTCATCAGCGATGGTCTCTTAGCCGCCGAGTGCCTGAGGAGGGACCACCCAGAGGCCTTCCAGGTGTTGACCACCACCGACGCCTACTTCTGGGACAAGGGCCACGCTAACTTCCCCTGGGAGATGGAGAGCTTCTTTAAGATATCCAAGAGGCCGATAATAACGTGAGTTGATCTCTTGTGTGTACAACAACCCGTGATCAATGTATCATCACACAACTGTTCTCACACTATATTTTCGTCTCCTCCTTCAGGCTAAACAACGACAACGAAGTCGTGTGTGTGGCAATGAACAACGGCGTCCGTCACTCTTACCTCGACCTTCCCTCCCACAAGGTCAAGAAATTCTACGCTGCCCTGAAGCTCTTCAACGACATCCTCTACGACAATGCCATCAGGTTCAAGATGGAGGCGGGTGAGTTATGGCCACGAGTGTCTACAACTGTTATCTTGATAACATTACAAGGTTTATTGACTTACCATTATATTACGGGTATTAGATATATTAATTAACGTGATGTACGTTTGGTTGTGTCAGGTGACATGATGACGCTGGACAACATACGCTGCCTACATGGTCGTGAGGGCTATGAGGACTTCAGTCCGCGACACATTGAGTCTTCCTACCTGGACTGGGACGAGGCTCTCTGCCGCCGACGTCGCCTTCAGGAGAAACTTGGACTCTTCGTGTAAAACAAAGCTTCAATAAGTGTCCCGTTGCTGTTGATCGTCATGCACCTTACAGGAGTCTACAATTGTTGTGAACTGAAGGACTGAAAAAAATCAAATTTCATTTTGCGTATTTTACCACATATATTCTTTGTTAATCTATATATTTTGATAATAATATTCATCATATTTCATGCATAATTTTTCACGTACATTTTCATGCTCAACAATCATATACAAACATTTTCCACGTGATTCATTTTATAATGTTTGATTTATTATTAGGTTTTACATTTATCATCATTTATCTATATATCCGAACACTTCTCCGTATTTATATTTAAGCAAATATTTAACCATAATTATCGTATACAAACTTAACCCTCACTTACTGTACACAACACGTATGCTGTACAGTATATGCCTTCAATAAGCACTTAATTACTGTTTAACCTCTAAGTGGTTATAAGTAAACAACCAGTGACGCTGTGTGTATCATCGGCCACATAATATAAGTGACCATATATTACTTATATTATAACTTAAACATAAAAGATAATCATCTATTTTTTTATTTTCACATTGTAATCGAATGTTATTGTTGTATTTAAGTGACTCTTTTTTATTTCTTATGTTAATTAATTCGTACGTGTTTAGAGATTTATATATTATTAAAACAAAATTGTTAATACAGAATTAATAAATTATTTTCCATATTTGTTCGTATTACTAACTCCTGTTTTTCCCTTATTATTAAACATAAAAAGTGAAGTTTAAAGCAATATAGAGGTGAACACGTGGTAACAAGTCATTAACGTCCGCGATGAGTTACCCTTATGAGGGGTCACGACGCCTTGGTGAAGGTCATGCAGTGGGTGGGTGGGTGGGTGAGTGAGTGAGTCAAGCTGTCATTCAGGAACGAAATAGAGTTAAGATTCGGAAAGGTCGACCATGGTACTTTATACTGATATTTATATAGGGAGATATGCAAAAAACAAACGCGTAAATTTATATTTTTCGAGTTTTTGGGACTTTTAGATTCGACTTAATAAAATTGTATTTAGGCGGGAGACATTGCTTACATATTACTAGCATAACTCTGCCGCCAATCAGCAGAAGTTAAGGAGTCTCGTGATAATCTTACGCATGCTCAGAGCTTTGAATTTTACTTGGCCAGTCACAAGATGGATTCTCTGTGCAACGGGTGTGCTCTTCGTCGACTTGGCAAACCATTCATCGTATCTTGGAAAATTAAACCACTGCTATTGACATTTTTTAAAGCTCATGGTATTCTGCCAACTTCTGTGAGGTGTACAAAGTGCGGTTCAAACTCTCTCTACCGTCAAGATACACACTTTTCTTTGTGTACTGAAAGACGATAACTCGCTAAGACAAAGAAATCTTCTCACTGTGGCTTCTGTATTTAAGGGCACATGGTTGGACAAAGTACCTACAAGTAGCATCACTTTATCCTCCAACATCTGATAATTAAGGTAATGTTTGGTTAGGTCAGGTTAGGTCAGGTTAAGTCAGTTTAGGTTAGGTTAGGTCAGGTTAGGTTAGGTTAGGTTAGAGTAGGCTAGGTTATGTTTGGTAAAATAAGGTTTATGTTTGGCTAGGTTAGGTTAGGTTAGGTTAGGTAAAATTAGATTAGGTTTGGTTAGTTTAGATTAGGTTTGGGTTGGGTTGGTTTGGTCAGTTTTTTCGTGTTTTTATCCCACAATTTCCCCCTACTTCAAAACCCTATCCACTTTGTGGGACCAAACTTGTTGGTAGTGTAAGGTTAAGGGGTGGGGTGGGGGTCATATCTCCATAAAAGCTCATTTCCGACAAGTATGGGGTCAGATACCATTAAAACACCACGACATGCACGAGAAAAAACTATTCTTGTTAGTTGTTTTCTTGGTAGACATTTTCCGAATCTGTACCCCAAACAATCAGACAGTCAATCAAACAGTCAATCAGTTAGTCAGTTATTTAGTCTGTAAGTCACTCATCAGCCTTTAATAAATTGTATTCATAGCGCTGACTGACTCATGTGAAAGTGTGTTGTTGATGGATAAAATTTATACACTGAAAAGACGCAGAAAAGTACAACTTCCACTTTAAGATACTAATGTAACCCAATGAGGTCGATGAATTAAACCCTGACTGGTAATTGTACAAAATAATATATTCACGGATATATATTTCCACCAGAACATACACTGTTCTCTCAAGAATTTTCAATACAATATACTGGGTACTATCTGGCCTCTAGTTCGATGTGTTTTTAATACAATAGCGCCATTATTTAAAAACCTGACTGGTGTGTTATCAATGCCTGTGTTTTTGTAGGGGTTTAGTTTATTGAACTCTTAGAACAAATTCCTCGTTCACCGTATAGAGTTCTTGACTGACTGGAGTGATTCCTATCTTTCTGTAGTGGGATTTAAAATCATCTGAACCTAAACTCTAAATGTTTATAACCACCCGCAGTTTATTGACTAAAAAGGTGAAGCTAATGTCGTATAAGTGGAACTAAAATAATATATAATTTTAGATGCGTCATAACAAAGTTCATTAAAATTGCAACTTCTTTTTGTTAGTTACTGTGTCTAGGGACCTTAGTTGTTTCTAGGGATATTTATGTAACTTTTATTTTCCTCGATATTATTGTTTACGTATTCCGATTTCGTCCACTTTATATTATCTCACTGTACTTTGCTTCTTATCCTACGAAACTTTTTGTGTGACTCGCCATCATGTCTGTCTCTTTTGACCTTAAGAGTGAGTTGATCTCGGTGTTTGATAGGTACTGATATCTCACTCAAGATCTTCTCCGAGGCGTCGTTTACCTCCATGTAATTACTCACAGGAGACCAATCAATATTTTGAATTGAATTGAAACAGTCTATTTAGCCAGAAAAACACAGATACAGAGTGGATAATAATAACAATATTAACATGACTGAGCCAGTTGAGAACCTGAAATCTCTTTGAGGCACCTGACATATACTATACATTTATCTCAAGGAAGTATTATGTAACATTTAGTATCATCTGGAATAGTACAATAGCATGGTGGCAATAAGAACATCTCATAATGTTACAACGGTTATCACTTCAATATTTATTTATTTTATTAATGTATTTATTTTTGGTTATTTATATTACAAGTATATACATAAATTATAGTGGAATTGAAAAACATAAGTATAATGGGGGAGCAGTACAACATGGGTTGTACAGTATTTAGGTTGAACAAGAGGACAGAGCTGTCAGGATTATGTCTAGTTGGCAAATATGTTTATTGCAATGGTAATTACTTATCTATTTACATGATAATTTCTGATAAAATGGTTTTCATGGTACAATAAAAGCAGGTAATGTAAATATAGTAAGTGTTACAAGAAGTATTAATACTTAGATAATAGATATTCTTAAGAGATGATTTAAAGGAAGGGAGCATAGTCTTCGCTCGGATGGGTGGGGGTAAGTTGTTCCACACCTTCACACCGTGATATTTTATGGAGGTCTGGGACTGAGAGGAGCACATGGGGTTGGTCTTAGTTGCTCTGGGTGCCTTAAGCTGTATCTCTTATTATTCCGGAACTGGAAATGTAGTAAATTTAGAAACACTTTCTCTACAGTAATTCTTCATTTGCTGTATTTTCATGATGTTGTCTTGCCTTATATTTCCCCTGACATTCTTCCAGCTGCAGGAGGTGATAAAGTGGTCACTAACACTGACAGGATAACCCCTGTCTGGTTTTATATTGGCTATTACATGTTATATTACACGATCCAAGTTGATGTGTGTGTGTGTGTGTGTGTCCAACTCTCACCCACAACACCCAAGCATAACAGGAATAAAGTAATACCCTGAAAGCATATGTTTTTCTTTATTAAAAAAGTACCTTTACATTACTACAAAATAAATGCTTAACACTGATACATATACTTAAATATATATATATATATATATATATATATATATATATATATATATATATATATATATATATATATATATATATATATATATATAACTCGTACATTTTCCTATAAGACAAATATATAATATGGCAAACCATAAGAGATCTATTCATCACACAATAAATATTCATTAATACAACATCTTGTTAATACAGCGATAAGGTATTGCTTATATTATTTGTTTCAAAGATCAAACTCGGAGATTATTAAAGAGTAAATATTTCAGTAATATTCTGACTTATAAATCAGATATTTGAAATACAAAGAATACAGTTGATGTGACGCCTTTAAGACTACTTGTGTATCAGTATAGAGGCGAAACTTACATGATAAGAGCTGCACCAGAGGTCTTTATGGCGATACTGACCTGGTAGGCATAACAAGAAGAATTCTACGAAGTTCTTAAAATGCAACACGTCCTTGGGTTCAAACTTCTCCCAAAACCGTAAAATTTTCTCGTTTTCCTTCAGTTCACATCAACGATGAATTTTAGTGATACGAATGATGATCAACAGCAAGAGGCTTTGTTTTACACGAAGAGTTCAAGTTTCTCCTGAAGGCGACGTCGGCGGCAGCGAGCCTCGTCCCAGTCCAGGTAGGAAGACTCAATGTGTCGCGGACTGAAGTCCTCATAGCCCTCACGACCATGTAGGCAGCGTATGTTGTCCAGCGTCATCATGTCACCTGACACAACCAAACGTACATCACGTTAATTAATATATCTAATACCCGTAATATAATGGTAAGTCAATAAACCTTGTAATGTTATCAAGATAACAGTTGTAGACACTCGTGGCCATAACTCACCCGCCTCCATCTTGAACCTGATGGCATTGTCGTAGAGGATGTCGTTGAAGAGCTTCAGGGCAGCGTAGAATTTCTTGACCTTGTGGGAGGGAAGGTCGAGGTATGATTGACGGACGCCGTTGTTCATTGCCACACACACGACTTCGTTGTCGTTGTTTAGCCTGAAGGAGGAGACGAAAATATAGTGTGAGAACAGTTGTGTGATGATACATTGATCACGGGTTGTTGTACACACAAGAGATCAACTCACGTTATTATCGGCCTCTTGGATATCTTAAAGAAGCTCTCCATCTCCCAGGGGAAGTTAGCGTGGCCCTTGTCCCAGAAGTAGGCGTCGGTGGTGGTCAACACCTGGAAGGCCTCTGGGTGGTCCCTCCTCAGGCACTCGGCGGCTAAGAGACCATCGCTGATGACGCTCTCACCTCCCTTCCCCTGGTGCTGCATCACGCACTGGATGAAGATGATCTGCAACACAACAACTTTATAACTTGCAATAGGAGTCAACATTATAGACTAACTCTTGTTAAAAGATATTGAGGTTTGGTGTCACGTATGATCAATTATAAAATGTCTCCTGACTTATCAAACAATAAACACCAAACACTATGAACTCGACCAAACTACTGACAGTTATGAAAGTTCGGGTTGCCTAAGAAATGTCTCGATATATTCAAAGCTGATGAGGAGCAAGTACTGTAGCTGGTGAGCCTCAACTTACCCCGGCCATTTGCTCATACTGGGCTAGGTCGTTGTGCATGCCCAGCTTAACGTTGGTGAAGGCGACGTTGTTGGTGTTTTCTCTGTTGATGACTGGTGAGTGAGGTCTGAGGGGACGAAAAACAATATTTTTACTCTTAATCGTTAACTGTTAATGATGTAAAGTGTAGCGTAAAATATTCATGCTATTTAAAGTCTCATAAAACATGTTCACGTAGTTTACATTACAGAACCTGGAAACTAAATGTTATATCACGGGTAATTTTTCCCAACAAGAAAGAAGTATTGAGACTGTGAATAAATGGAACAATACGTGAACACAATAATACAATACTTAATGTTCTTTTGATCATCTAACTTGAAATTTGGTTTATCTTGTACAACATGAGAACAGTGACTGGCCACTGACCCGTAGTGGGACTGCTTGACGAAGGAGATGTTGTTGATAAGGTCAGGTCCGGCCACGTCCCTGTTTGGTGTGTTCTTCACTAAGGCGGATCCCTTCGTCTCCATCGTCAGTAGCCAGTCCAGCAGCACCTTCTCGTCCTCCATCAGAGTCTGGTAGTCGAACTCTGCTGGCTTGTGCTCCACTCCCCATGGCTCCTGAGGGTGCGGGAAGGGGTTAAGGATCACGTCAAAAAGGGATGATGAAGAATGTCGATAAAAATGACAGATAAATAAGTTATTGAATACGTGAGCAGCTAAAATTACTGTTTAGATCAATAAATAAAGTATTTAACGGAGGGATATAGTAAAGCCTGTTCAGGTAAAAGGTAACTAATTAGTAGAAAATAATTGTGATGTGATTATCGGTATAGGTAACATTTTTAGGTATATAATTTTTCAGAGACTCAGTACAGGTGAGGGTGCCAACACTCACCCTGCTGAGAGCGTATCTGTTACGCTGCTGTGCTCGAGCGGAGGTCGTAAAGGCTCGGTCATACAGCCACTCTGCTGTGAACTGGCTGCTGTGACCGTCACTCCACTCTATCTCCACCCCGTCTTCACTTTCCTGCAAACAATAATAATTATCTCTACAACACTGACAGCATCTCTCATCTTTACTCTGTATAAGTAGAGGAATATCAAGTAAATATCAGTATTACATGTGCACATAGAAGAGCTCCATATATACAACCGTAAGCTAGTACACAAAATTCTTATATTACTGGAAGGAAGACAGGTAGAATCAGGTGTCATTGTCAGTGGTGTTACCTGAACTTTGGTGGCGTGGACGTTGACGTCGAGGTCCTCCAAGAGGAAGCTCCTCCCCAATGCCACGGGATTGTAACACTTGGAACATTGACAGTTGTCACGGAGCCACACGTACGGCATCTGGCTGGCACTCCCGTCACCGAACTTGACGTTGAGGCCCTCCTGGTCCGGTAAAGACGCCACCAGGTGGCTGGCTGTAGGGGCAACAAATTTATGTACACCACCTCTGTACTGTCTCAATAAGGGCCTTTAAAATGATATCATAAACAGGGAAGAAGAACAAATGTATCATTATGGGTATGTGTGGGAGGCGAGAGAAGACCTACCTGAAGGTGTGATTCCCTTGAGGGCGGGAGAGCGAGCGGCACCTGAGACAGGACTCTCCTTGATGGTGACTTGCTGTCTGGCGCAGGACACGAGGCTCAGACCCCGCTTGTTACAGTTATTACAGTTCCTCCTCACCTGTGAACACAAACAAGATACATAATGAGCACCTTTGTTGTCGTGTTTCAGTCAGCAGAAAGAATGGTAATCAATCAGAGCAAAAATAGCATGACCAACTAGAGTACTTAAGTCTAAATGACTTTATCAATGACATTCTAAATCTGTAGTGATACAGAAGCATGTAGTAAGTAAACAAGAAGCGTAGCAGAACATAGAGTGTAATAAACAAGTGTTATCATGCAGACAGTTAGTAAATATTATAACCTGTGATCGACAGGTTGTCTCTTGGCTCTTGCATCTTCAAGTCTTCTCTCTTCTTGTCGACCAACATATCTGTCATAACAAAAGTGTCGTTCATATGAGGTGGGCACACAGTGCCTCTTTGCCATATTGGCAACAGTGGCAACTTAGAAATACTGAACTCTCCTAATAGTTGTAATTAAAGGTTAACAGTGTTAACTAGTAGAATTTAGAGTAATCTAACATCAGCTTCACTAATGCCACTGTTGAAGATTAACTTTCTATCAACACCGTTAATAAATAAAAGTTATCACCTGTGTAGAATTAAAGTTATTAATTATCTTTCCACTAAATACCAAGACTGGTTATTAGCCTCATCTACTGTAGCATAGTTATGGTTAAATAAAATCGTCTACACTAAGAAACTAATGAGTAATATTAACTACACTTTTTACTAGCAGCACCACCTATTGACAGTTTTAAATAACTAATAATAGATAACAAAACATTAACTATATTTAACTAAAAAGTTAATAACTAAGAAGTTAATGAAGTGCTAACATCATCTCCACTAACTGATAAAACTAAACACTTTATAAAAGTTTTAATCCTATAAAAGACAATTTGACATGAAAATGTTTATATAATTTCATAAACTATGTATATAAAATACTTTATAAATTAAAGATTAAAGGGATTCTAAATAGAGAATTCTAAATTTAAGTTTGCATAAGAGTAAATACGTTTGGGAGTTAGAATATTAATCTACGAAGAATAGAAGACGTAGGAAATGGAAATTTATTAAAAGAAAGTTATGGAAATGGTACAATAAGAATAAAAACAAATAATTTATTATTGAGATAAAAAACAAAGTAATTTGGTTCACTAAGATGATGAAACAAGACGTGCTATTTACTGCTCTAATACCGGAAATAATAACAAAGATTTACTTCATACCTGTTGATGGGTGACAGTCCTCATAGCTGCTGCTCCAGAGAGCACAAGACGAGAATAACGCTGGCAAGACATGATTGTTGTTGTGGTAGTGATGGTGGTCTCCGGAGAGCTCCTTGTCTTACCTTCTCTTATTAGTCAAGCAGAAGGAATGATAGTTCACGCTGGATCACCCCATTTTATACAGAAACATGGCGGCTGAGTTGCCATGTTTGAGGTCTCCGTGAGGTGTGCTGCTGCGTCTCCCGTTATTGTTATTTCTTTTAACTTCTACCTCTTTTCGGGAGGTTCTTAGAGAGGCCTATCACTATTGAGGCATGAACGTTATGTGGATAAAGAGAACTGTTGTAAATATAAAGAAGAGAAAAGTCATTTTATGTTCAGCGTCACTACAAGGTTGTGCTGTCATTTGTGTGAAATGATACGATGATTTATGAATCAACGCTACACATGAGGAGGCCTGCCCCGTTGGTTCTAGATAGTGGTTTCCCTTCCACTTAGTACGACAACAGAACAAACTAGCGTGGAGGACAGTGACTCAACGCTGGTGACTTGGTGAATGAGTGAAGAGGCTAAACTACATTAAACTCTTCAAGAAAACAAACTTAATTTATCATCCTTAAATGGATTAATTGTCCTCAGGGGTTAATTTATCGTACTCAAGGGGATAATTCATTGTGGTCAAGGGGTTAATTCATCGTGGTGAAGGGGTTAATTCGTCGTGCTCAAGGGGTTAATTCATCGTGGTGAAGGGGTTAATTCGTCGTGCTCAAGGGGTTAATTCATCGTGGTGAAGGGGTTAATTCGTCGTGCTCAAGGGGTTAATTCATCGTGGTGAAGGGGTTAATTCGTCGTGCTCAAGGGGTTAATTCGTCGTGCTCAAGGGGTTAATTCATCGTGCTCAAGGGGTTAATTCATCGTGGTGAAGGGGTTAATTCGTCGTGGTCAAGGGGTTAATTCATCGTGCTCAAGGGGTTAATTCACCGTGCTCAATGCGTTAATTCATCGTACTCAAGGGGTTAATTGAGAGTCCTTAATGTGCAATTTCACCATCCTCAAGAGGCTAATTCATCACCTTCAAGTACGATGATTAACCCCTTTTCGAGGATAAATTAACCCCTTAAGAGCGTTGACTTAACCCATCAAATAAGATGAATTAAACCCTTGAGAACGCTGCTTTATCTCTAGAGAATGGTCCATTAACTGCTCCAGGAAGGTTAATTAACTCCTTGATAACAATGGCGCCGTCAATAGGAGTACCAAGATGCACAACCTTAGGACCCGTATAATGTGTGTAAAGTTTCAGGTCTCTAATTCTGTTCTGGAGCTATGGCTGGAACAGACAGACAGACATCCCCACAGGACTCTTCATCACATGTTGACTGACCTTATTTGTACTGCAGTGTGAAAGACTCGACCCTCAGCTGTACCGGATGGATACTGAATCTTCATCTGTCAGATGGAGCTGTAGACCACAGGTCAACGTGGTGCTGTCAACCTTGGGTCCAGGAACCGAGTCTGTGTGGGTAGAAATCACGGAAAGAAGAGAAAAACTAATTATGGGAGTGATTTACAGGCCCCCAAGTCTTGGCAAAGAAGCAGCTTAGCCCATATGGCAGGAAATGAGTAGGGCAGCAAAATATAACAACCTATGCATTATGGGGGATTTCAACTTCAGAAATATAGACTGGGACAACATTGTAGGTGACTATGAATCTGAAGATTTCCTAGACGCAGTACAGGACAATTTTTTGAAACAACTAATTACAGAACCTACTAGAGGTGACAATATATTAAACCTAGTATTAACAAATAAAGAAAATATTATCAGAGATATCACAGTAGGGGAAGAACTAGGTAACAGTGATCACAGAGAAATCAGGTTCACCCTAAATTTGGGAAGAGAAAAACAATGACAATATGGTCAGAGTCCCAAACTTTCGGTTGGCGGATTATCAGGGGTTAAGAAGGTACCTAGGTGAGGTCACCTGGGAACAGTCACGTCAGTCCACAGTAGAAGGGGTGAGGTCATAGATGACACAACAATTGATCATGACTATAATATATTTACTAGTATACTACATAAAGCACAAAAACAAAATATACCATACAGAAAAATTAGGTCAAATAAAAATGAGCCAAAGTGGATGACCAGAAAACTTAAACATGACATAGGAATAAAGAAAGGAATATATAAGAAATTAAAGGGAGGGGAGGAGCAGCTGAGAAATAGGTATAATGAACTATCTAGGAATGTTAAGAAAAATGTAAGGAAAGCAAAGAGAGACTATGAAATCAAAATAGCAAGAGAATCCAAGGCGAATCCCAAGGGATTTTTCCAGGTATATAGGACAAAGGTCAAGGACAAAGTTGGGCCTTTAAAGTCAGGGAGGGGAGAAGTGATAAATGGCAGTGAAGAAATAAGCAAAGCATTGAACAGCTACTTCTTATCAGTTTTCACAGAAGAAATTTGAGATGAAATTCCAGAGGTGGAACTGATATTTAAGGGAAAGGAAGAAGAGAAATTAAAGAATATCACTATCAGAAAAGAGGATGTTCTTAAGAAGATAAATAAACTAAAGAAAACAAAATCCCCAGGGCTGGATGAAATTTTCCCTCGAGTCTTGAAAGAGTGTAGGGAACAGATTAGCGGACCCCTCGTAAACTTATTCACAAAATCATTAGACACCGGAGTTGTGCCAGACTTGTGGAAACAGGCAAACGTAGTACCCATATTCAAAAAGGAAGACAGAGCATCAGCGTCAAATTACCGGCCGATCAGATTGACGTCAGTAGTGGGGAAATTTCTTGAATCAATTATAGCAGATAGCATCCGATCGCATCTAAAGAAAAGCAAATTAATCTACGACTCTCAACATGGATTTACAAAGGGAAAATCTTGTCTAACAAATCTGCTAATGTTTTTTAGGAAAGTCTTTGAGGTAGTAGATAATGACGAAAATTTCGATGTTATTTACTTAGACTTTAGCAAAGCATTTGACAGAGTACCGCATCAGAGGCTTCTGAGAAAAATTAAGGCTCATGGTATCGAGGGGAAAGTTTTAAATTGGATAAAATCATGGCTCACTGATAGAACGCAGAGGGTCAGCGTAGATGGTGTTAAATCTGAGTGGGGCCGTGTAACCAGTGGGGTTCCGCAGGGGTCAGTACGAGGCCCACTCTTGTTCATAATCTACATAAACGATCTAGATACTGGGATCAGCAGTGACAAAAGCAAGTTTGCAGATGACACCAAAATTGGGCGGCAAATTAATTCAGGGCAGGATGCAAATGCATTACAGGAGGATCTAAATAAACTGCAGGGATGGTTTGAAAAATGGCAAATGAAATTCAACACCAGCAAGTGCAGCGTACTTAATATTGGAAGAACAAATACTTATAATGTATACAGCCTTAACAACATCAACCTAGAGAAGTCGACTTGTGAAAGAGATCTAGGGGTACTTGTAAGCCCGGACCTACGGCCTAGAAAACAGTGCGTTAATGTTCGAAATAAGGCAAACAGAGTATTGGGTTTTATATCTAGAAGTGTAAGTAACAAGAGTGCAGAGGTCTTATTGCTACTATATCTTGCGCTAGTCAGGCCACACCTCGAATATGCGGTTCAGTTCTGGTGCCCCTATTATAGAATGGATATAAATTCACTAGAGTCGGTGCAGCGAAGAATGACGAAAATGATTCCGGGACTTAGAAACCTTCCATATCAGGATAGGCTAAAGAAACTTCACTTGCATTCCCTAGAATGACGAAGAGTGCGAGGAGATATGGTAGAAGTATTTAAGTGGGTGAAAGGAATCAATAAAGGGGATATAGATAAAGTTCTTATAATATCCGAGCAGGATAGGATTCGGAGCAACGGATTCAAGTTGGATAAGTTTAGGTTTAGGAGGGAGATAGGAAGAAACTGGTTCACAAATAGGGTGGTGGACAAGTGGAACAAGCTTAGCAACCTTGTAGTAAGTGCGGGAACTCTGGAAAGTTTCACAAGGAGGCTAGATACATTCTGGATGATAGAGAGTGGTAGTAACTCTCGACAGAAGCTGCCATGCTTCTTATCCTACGAAACTTTTTGTGTGACTCGCCATCATGTCTGTCTCTTTTGACCTTACGAGTGAGTTGATTTCGGTGTTTGATAGGTACTGATATCTCACTCAAGATCTTCTCCGAGGCGTCGTTTACCTCCATGTAATTACTCACAAGAGACCAATCAATATTTTGAATTGAATTGAAACAGTCTATTTAGCCAGAAAAACACAGATACAGAGTGGATAATAATAACAATATTAACATGACTGAGCCAGTTGAGAACCTGAGCTCTCTTTGAGGCACCTGACATATACTATACATTTATCTCAAGGAAGTATTATGTAACATTTAGTATCATCTGGAATAGTACAATAGCATGGTGGCAATAAGAACATCTCATAATGTTACAACGGTTATCACTTCAATATTTATTTATTTTATTAATGTATTTATTTTTGGTTATTTATATTACAAGTATATACATAAATTACAGTGGAATTGAAAAACATAAGTATAATGGGGGAGCAGTACAACATGGGTTGTACAGTAATAAGGTTGAACAAGAGGACAGAGCTGTCAGGATTATGTCTTGTTGGCAAATATGTTTATTGCAATGGTAATTACTTATCTATTTACATAATAATTTCTGATAAAATGGTTTTCATGGTACAATAAAAGCACGTAATGTAAATATAGTAAGTGTTACAAGAAGTATTAATACTTAGATAATAGATATTCTTAAGAGATGATTTAAAGGAAGGGAGCATAGTCTTCGCTCAGATGGGTGGGGGTAAGTTGTTCCACACCTTCACACCGTGATATTTTATGGAGGTCTGGGACTGAGAGGAGCACATGGGGTTGGTCTTAGTTGCTCTGGGTGTCTTAAGCTGTATCTCTTATTATTCCGGAACTGGAAATGTAGTAAATTTAGAAACACTTTCTCTACAGTAATTCTTCATTTGCTGTATTTTCATGATGTTGTCTTGCCTTATATTTCCCCTGACATTCTTCCAGCTGCAGGAGGTGATAAAGTGGTCACTAACACTGACAGGATAACCCCTGTCTGATTTTATATTGGCTATTACATGTTATATTACACGATC